CAAACATGACAAAACACAAAGACAGCATAATCACTACCTTACCCTTCCTCAACCGCATCAACAGGCATACTACGGGCTGCGCACCTGTGCCCTTACAGTCACGTGCAGTCAATTTTCAATCCACCCGCAGCGCCGGCCCATATATATATTGAGAGGGAAATCCAAGGAATTAGTCAGCAAATGAGAGAAACTGCAGGCGTATCAGTGAGTTTCAACTTAAACACAGAGAGATGCACTCACCCAACTTTCAACACAGAGAGATGCACTCACCACTTCTCACATCGCATTTTGACAAAGTAGTGGAGTGAGGCCCGTGGTCTGCTGAGGTTTGTGAGCCAAAGGAGTAGCTGGTGGTCCTGAGATCCGCAGTGTGCAGATGCAGGTGCAGGTGCAGGTGCAGGTGCAGGTGCAGGTGCAGGTGCAAGTGATTTATTTGGTATTGAGTGCATAGACTGAATTGTCATTCTCCCTCATACAACTACGCAGTAACAATCGCACAGGTCGCACTGTCGTAGGGGTGAGTGCCACTGAGTGGCTTCGTCATTTATAGCACTCGAATCTATCGAACATTATTGTACTGTGCTGTGGTGTTTGCTTTCTTTTCTCCATTTCTGCACTATGGATGCCCCACCCTATACATGCACCACTTGCAGGCCCCAAGTTCATTTCTCTAGTGCCGTCTTGGTCCGTTGCCAGGGTTTAACCCGAATAGACTGTCCAATAGTATGGTTCCCTTTCCTAACTAACCCTGCCTCCTTTCGCCCAACAAGGGTAAATTCTACTGGTGGTTAAATTCTACTGGTGGTTAAATTCTACCCATGACCTGCCAACAAGGTTACAGTTTCTCGTCTGGTTCCTCAACAGGCTTTACTTGGTGGAAGATGAATGATAGAATTTAACCACCAGTACCTCGCCCATACATCGCGTGCGGTGAAAAATAGAGCCGCAACGTTTCCACTTGAATGAATTTGGACTGGAGCCGCCAGGCCCGCTCGGCCCAGAGCGACTTTCCGAGGTACTGGTGGTTTAATCAAATGGAATCTGTGGTGGCATAGATGAGGGACACCCCTTCCAAGCCCTCGTTGTAGCATAGTCGAGTGAGCCTCGTCACACAGGTACTTCGGACGCCAAGCTCGACCAGTGTTCAATCGGCCCCACAATTACTACCCAAATTCTTACTGAGGCACCAGGGCTAGGCAGACTCAACGGTTAAGCCGGGATCCACACAGCTTACCCAAGGCTAGGCAAATCACGGACAAGCCCAAAACGGCTATGAAACCCCTACCCAACCCTAGTTACTGACCCTATCTGAAAGCCCCCCGCAAGCCCAGATGTAGTCTATGACACCCCTAGCAAGGACTAGATGCCCCCTCTGGCCTTGTAGTTAACTGTTTATACTGGTTGTATAGTCCCTGGAGGTACCCTGCCTCAACACAGCCCAGGGGCAAAAATATGCGCCCTGAAAGCACAAGTACACGGCCCCAGCCTTGCAGCAAAACATCTTGTCGCCACAAGATTGTGTCGGCAGCTAGGGCCTACCGGACCACAAGGGCTGGCGCCGCCAACCAAAAAAGAAAAGAAGTGCCGCGATGGCAGTTTGGAAAGTGCGCCGCTGGCGGTTCGGCAAAAGAGGCCCGGGTGTACTGGTGGTTTAATCTGTCCCGATTCGCGAACGAATAGACAGTCCTCCTCCAGAGCCCGGTCATCAGCTGGGCTCCTCCCCCCTCAAAGTACAGACATGGAAATAGATGAATGAGATGAAACAATCCAAAAAACGAAAAGGAAAATAAGACCAGGGCAGGCAGGTCCACACTACAAAAGAGTGCCTCGGGGAGTCGTCCAGCATTCTGCCTGGCGAGCTGCTGCTGGTAATCATGCGCTGGAGGAGTCTTCTTAGCGCCAGGCAGAGGTAGAGATGTAGGTGGAGGCAGCCATGGCTGTAGTAGGGGGTCCCTGTAGCATAGGGAGGCGCTGGCACCTCCATAGCTATCGAGTGTATGAGGTCAGTAAGAGAGAGAGAGAGAGAGAGAGAGAGAGAGAGAGAGAGAGAGAGAGAGAGAGAGAGAGAGAGAGAGAGAGAGAGAGAGAGAGAGAGAGAG